CCCCGCTGGGCCATCTTACCCCACCTTCCCCTACCATCCAAAAGCTACCTTTGACATGCCTATCAGAGGAATACCAAAATGTAAATGCAAACAAATGGCAGCATATGCAAGTTCACAGGTGCCCAGCTATAATAAAAAATTGATTTAGGTCGAAGGTGGGTAGGTTGGAATGCTGTGCTTGGTGTCTGGTGAAAAATGATTTTGAAACTGCTTTGAGCTGTTCTCAGATGAAATTTTACCACAAATATTTCTTGTGCACATGACTCACAGGCTGGCCAGGCAGTGTCCATGCCACACTGCAGTTTCCCATGACGTTATGCTGTTAAGGTGATTGTTAAGGTGTTAATAGTGAAGAACAAATAGAAATAAACATGTCATATCATACCACCCAGTGCCGTTCTGTCTAATACCACCACGTTTTCCACGCCCCCAGTCTCTGGTTTCCTACAGTCCTTCTCCTCCAGATCCTACCATGCTAATCACCCAAAATCCATCATCCCTTCCCTCTGTATTTACCGAGACAGCAGTGGTGTTGAGTTGCCAAAACAGACACGCTCCTATGTGTTTCCACACCCCTTCCTGAGCTACCTGTACTTTTGAAGTTTTCACAGCTACAAGATCAGCTCCACTTTTCTCATGCATCTTAGTAACTACCTGAAATCCCCACTGTTGCTGCTCATGACATTGCTCTCCCTTTGCTCACTTCCTCAGGACCAATTCCTGGTCACGAGCCACTATCTTTAGCATCCCCTCTGTGTCTAGGAAACTCTGTTCAAAATAGACTGGCTGACCGTAACTGTGTATTGTTGTGGCGTACATTAATAACATCCATTGGTTTGTTATTCAGGGTCCCAGCACCTCTGTCGATGCGGAGGTCACGGCCGCCACCGTCGACCCCGGCGAGGGCACCATGCGAGCGGGCCGCCGGCGATGGACATTGAGGAGAGCTGGCTCGTTATCGGTGAGTATAGAGAGTGAATGTTCATTTGAATGACTACGGCCTCGCTCCGCTCAGCCTCCGTCTGAATAATATGTTGCCCTGCCCGTCGTCAAGGACGTTGTCCGGCCCTCTGGTAAATTTAATTTATTTAGCAGCATTTGTGGACTTTGTGACCATTTGTGAGCGTTGCATGTTTGGAAATAAACTTGCCCTAGGGCTGACAATTTAATTAGCAAACCTCGTATTTTATCGAAATACCTCGGGTCTAATGACCCTTGGAACTTTGGCAAAAACTCAGTGACATAATTAAATTGTCCCAGCCCCGGGTATGTATATTTTCTTTGCTGCTCTCGAAGTTCCTGTTTTTTTTTTTCACCTGACGGCTCGGGATAAAACCGTTACATCACTCGAGAGAAAAATATGCGTTAATCGACCCGAGGCAGCTTGCTCGGGATATAACCATTAATAATATCGGAAATATTTGTTCTCGTTGCAGACAATGCAGTCGACCACCTGCTGCACCGCGCTGGCGAGCACGGAGCTGCTCTACGTGGAGAATGAGGCGGTTGTCGAGTTCAAAGAGCTAACCTCGGCGGTCGACTTAAGTGATCAGCTGCCGGGACAGAGACTGACCGGCAGAGTTCTGTTGGTGCCTCATACTTTTCTCTGTTTGTTTCTGTTTTCTGTTCCGCAAGTTTTTGTCATTATAACTAGTTGCAGTTTAAGTAGCTTGTTGCAGTTCGTTTATATTTTGTTGCAGGGTGTCCCGCCCTTAACCGTAAAGAGACGTGAAACGTTGGACGCTAATGAATGAGATACGAGATAGGATACGAAATAATATAATCGCACACAAAGCTGTGAAATAGAAAGCTGCTTGTATAATAGGTCCGTCTGCTCCTTATGATGGGTTCCTATAGCAGGTCTGGTCTTGCAACCAGCTGTGATCATTGAGCGTTACGCCCGTAATAGGTTGTCCAGTGCTTGTTCTTATGTCAGTGCATGAAATACAGGTTAACTTTGCTGTTCTCTTGACTTGTCATTCGTTTTAAAATTTAAACAGTACAAAATGAGCGCAGGGTTATCATTTTGTTAATTTTATGTCGCCCATGGCATGACAATAGGTATCCACGCACTTGTTGTACAGAACAATCGATATCTTGTTGATTGTTCCTATAACACGACCACGTTTCTGTGTTCGGTGTCATTGCTCGGTGTTAGTATTACGGATAGTATATGGTCTTGTTGGATGTTCTTCCTTGTCTTGCATGCTATTTCGCACACGAAATAACACGCAATATGGGAATGAAAATCTGATAAGTCGCGTTATCCGTAATATTAACAGCGGAAAATCCACTCATCTCCTGCCGGTCAACCTTACCTACGACTGATGAGTAGGTTGACTGGTAAGAGGTGAGTAGATTGACCGGTCGCTGGCGCAGTCAAATAGGTGGTGTCCATAAAACCGCCCATCCATTAGTAAATTAACTCACAGAATGAGAGTAACGGAAGTGAATAACCAGCGATACATGAGTTTTCACAATGAGTAAGGTGAGTAGATTGACCGGTCGCTGGCGCAGTCAAATAGGTGGTGTCCATAAAACCGCCCATCCATGAGTAAATTAACTCACAGTATGAGAGTAACGGAAACGAGTAACCAACGATACATGAGTTTTCACAATGAGTTAACTCATCGAGCGTGGGTAAATATGCATGAGCAAACGCACGTTTCATCGGAAAGTTGACCGGCAAGTGGTGAGTTGATTAACCGGTCGCTGGGGCCGTCAAATAGGTGGTGTCCATATAACCGCTCTTCCGTGAGTTTACTCACGAGAGGAGAGTAGATTTGTTTTCAGTGATATATCAGGAACGAAAGTCACATACGAATCGCTCTGAACCCATGAGCCGGTCTGTATTTTTATGGAAACCAGTAAGCCATAGAGTAAGCCAATCAAAAATTGTCACCAGACAAGAGCCATTCTACCGATGTCGCATTTATACCTTTAAAACATGACACATTATTGGCAAGAAAGATAACAAGAGCGAAATCATACAATTGCTCTCAACTAAAGTTCAGCCGTATGGTCGAGGATCGGAACTATGTAAGCAGCATCTCTACACGTCAAAGAAACAGGAACATTTGGACTGGACATACAACTCTAAGGCGGAACGTCCAAAAGAACGTACCACTTCGAGTAATGCGGAGTGCTTCAATGTATTACCTACCTCCACTAACAGCCGTTAAACATGGTGGGTACCGTATGCAAAATCACAAAGGACTGGTACGAACGACTAGGCCAAAGTCAAGCTGGTGGATTTCCCGGATTAGAGCGAAGGAGGGCAGCAGACAAAGTGTTCATTAGGAAGACTGAGGCGGGCCACTTCTGAGACAAGAGCTCAGCTCTGCATAAAATTGTGAGATACGTGCCTTTACCACCACTGGCAACACAAATGGTGGCCGAAAAATGCTACCTAAAGCGAAAGTCATAAGAACTGGACTCGAGAGACATGGGTACGACTCTCCGTTGAAGTAGCATACTAACAACTTGAGCAGTTTTTTAAGTTCCTATGTGACATCCCTGTGGAGACTATCCTTCGGTGTAAACAGAACAGAACGAGGAGCAAATTGTGTTACCCTTCACGTGGAGAACGACCACAGAAAGTCGTACAAATAACAATATTAATATCAGCGCTTTTAATTTCTTAAACGCCGATCATGCACATTTGTCTCTGTCCGTGAAAGCATTTACGATACATATACTATGTATAAGGTGCACCGAGTGGGTTGAACTTCAGCCCGAAATCTCAATTCCAGCCCCCGCCCAGCGCAGCGGGATCGGGTGTAACATTTCAGCGCGAGACAATGACAATCCATCTGGGGCAGATGCGGCGGACGCCGGCTAACCCGCCGCGGGACAACCACAGGCGCCGCCGGATAGTTAATGCATGCCGGCGGCCCGGCTCCATTAGCTAATGGTGAGCGGTCAGAGAAGCACGCCATACTGCTGGCCCGCGTTTGGTGGTCCAGTTGCGGACGGCGCGCAAGTCTGTTGACACACACCCCGACACGGCGCCGAGTGTGTTTATGTCCGCGGTCTTGGTTTCGTCCAGGTCTGACAAGAGGCATTTACAAATTCAAATAGTTTCGTACGGTTATAAGTGTGGTAGCCAAAAACTTGTGAATTATGGACAATGGACCTGAACTATAACGACGCACCACAATTCCATTTTTAACTTTCAGGCACGTTATATGATTCTTATCTAAAATGATTTAATGCGGGACGAGCTTTGCCCGTATGTCTATTCATACTTTATTGCACTGTTATACCATGCACGGATAGGACCTGTTGAAGTGATGACTTCGGTTACAACACTGGAAAAGTAATTTCATTAGATGTAACAACCAACTTTGCATTTAGAAGATAATGTATCATTAATGTAATTAGCAACCGCTCCAGCAATTGCTAAATTTGGCATTCTGATTTCTGAGGCGTTGGCACGACACTGAAACTGATAAGCACCGGAATATGTAAACGAATATTCCGCTGGTAACAAAACAAAGGCTTCGCTGCTCCCCTTCTCTCAACGCATACGGCTGATAGTGGCCCACATCCGACATTGAAAGTATCTAATTTGTACCCCAGTCGGGCCTGACCTATCCGGAAAACGCTTTTCATCGATGCATCGCAACATTGAATTTTCCATTGAGATTCAGGTCGGCGGCTGTGAACGGCCCGATAACTGCATAATGGAGGAGATTGCCGAGCGGCCAGGGAGAGGGGTGTGGTGCCGAGCTGACCGAACACCACCGAGCGACGGACGAATGCCACCTCATCTGTATCTGGCAGAGAACGGAGCGAAACGGTGGAGTCCAGTCTTAACAGTCATACGCCGCGTGCACTGTGGAGTGTGGGTGCACACCCGTGCAAGGTCATCAAGGTCACATGCATATAATGATATAAGCTAGGTGGAGAGCTCTAACAAATATCGGCGACTCGATGTGATCAACGCCCGACGTCCCGCGTTCGAAACCACCACCTCCTGGAAGAGTATCGGCGCTCACCTTGAAGAAGTCGAAGAACGAGATCCTGGGCTGTGTGGGGCCGTACGTCTTCTCCTCGGCCTTGAAGAAGAAGAAGTGGGTGAGCGCGGCGTCCACCAGGTCCGGCCGCTCCCGAGAGATGTCGACCAGACGCAGCCGCTCGCGGCGCGAGTCGCGGCCCCGCCAGAAGCTCATGTTCTGCTTCTGCTCCCAGGGCACGTGCTCCTTGCTCTGCACCGACAGCATGTCTAGCATCACCCTGTTGCAGGGGGGCAGCGGGGCGTCAGGCGGGAGGCCGGGGGCAGCGGAGGCGTCAGATGAGCGGCCAGGGCAGTAGAGCGGCAGGGAGAATCAGGGCGGCAAAATGAGATTAAACTATGATCAGATTCGATAAAATGGAGCTTCGCACGGTTACGACACGAAGTGGAAAACCGATTGGTTGAAAAAATCCACCTCCTATATAATTGATTATTATACCTCCAATGCCTCATATCAAAATTGATCTTTTTCTGAAATTGAAACGATGTGCATATCGTAAAACGTTTAAGATTGGTCTGAAAAACGTTTCAGGTGTACCTATACATGTATGTATGTTACATGTCTAGATACATGCACCTATACATGTACCTATACATGTACGTATGTTTCCAAGCACTAAGCAGCAATATCAATTTTCACACTTAAATTCTTTTTAACCTTCGCCCCAGTGGGGGGGGGGCATATGTTACCACCCTGTCGCGTTTTTCGCGTGTGAATAAAAAACCGCGGCGCGTAGCGCCGCGCCGCTTGGGGTAGCTTTTGGTACATCAATTTTGGACAATGTGTGAAATTTTTGACCCCTGGTCATGTCAGGTCAGGTCACCAGGTCAAGTTGACTGACCAAGCCTTTAAAAAAGTTTGCAATCATGTCCAGCCTGCAGTGTTTGTCAGAAAGGTTTTAAACTTGGTGGATTGCATGCTGTTATGGGAGCCTGCAATTTGGATATCTCGGATTTTTTATATCCGTGACCTAAGGTCAGGTCATTGGCATGACCTTTCCATTACAAGTCAATGGAGAAAATTGAAAATGCGTCTAGATCCGTGTGTACGCATAGGAACAGTCCAAATATTTCAGAATCACAATGATTTAGTCCACTCGTGATGACCAAGGTGTCATTTTTGCTGTTAGCCTCAAGAAAGGTCATCCGAGGTCATTTGAGGCTACAAACAGTTTTTTGCCAATAACTCGCGATTGGAAAGAGATAGAACGCTGGGGATGGTCTCATTGTGTTTGTCTTGTTGAGACGCATCGACTGATATGCAACATGACCTTTTCCGGTCAGGTCATGACCTTGACCTGAGGTCAAATTTTTAAGTTGACCTTTCAAGGTCAAATTATAGTTCATTCGACGCGTCTCGGTGAGGGGAACACGATTCTGGCAATAGAAATGTCGTGGCTTTTTGTAGTCGAAAGTTATTGTCGAAAAACACTTTTCGTAAAAACAGCTATTTTTGGAGTTTTTGCCCTCCGGAGGCTAAACCGTTGACCTGAGGACAATATTGATAATGACCTTTTCAAAAGAAGAGTTCAAAAGCTATCGATTGCTTTTCCATGCGTTTTTCTAGCTACCATAGTTCCTGAGATAGCGGCATGTTTTCTGAAAAATATAATGACAATTGGCAAATTTTGACCTTTGATGACCTCTGGTGACCCCAATATTGCTCTAAGGTGAAAAATGACCGAAATACTTTCAAACGTACGTATTGAGAGCTATCGACTGCTTTTTACCGCGTCTTTCTAGCCCTCTTAGTTTTTGAGTTAGAGGTGGGTGGTAACATATGCCCCCCCCCCCCCCCTCACTAGGGCGAAGTTGGCCGAGACCGCCACTGGGGCGCGGGTTAAAGTGAATCATTCTCTTGAAAGCCTCTGAAACGATATTCCTCGCATCCGTGGTGCGAGCGATATTCCATTGGCGGATAGTCGAATACAATTCAGCTGCCGAACTCTTCAGACGAAAAATATGCACATCGGAGAGAGCATTTCCATACGCACGAACTTGGCCTGGGCAGAAGGCATAACCGAAAAAAATCATAGCCGTGCACCTGGTTGGTTTTGATTAATATCTGCTGGTCATAGTTCACCTGCAGATTGGATGCAATTGAAGTTTTCAATCATGTCATCATAAATTCATAGGACAAATAACGAGACAAATCATTTCTTAAACCATTTATCTCAAACATAGGGTCGGTATAACCCAAGCGCAAAAATGCGAAACTCGTCCCGACTGCGAGCCAAAACCAAACACGCATAGCTAGCCACAGACGCACACAGCCTCTCCCAACTGCACGTACTCGGCAGTCGCGCACGTCATCTATCGCGGTCCTCGAGTGATACTGTGAGGCACGTCCGGCTGCTAACCGGCACAATTTCCCCTACCGCGTCCGTCTAACGACGACCATTCGCCGCGGCCGCCGCGCCGCCGCGACGCAAACGACCCCGACGGGTCATCGTCGCCGCGCCGCGGACCGGGGGGCTCGAACGGCGCATCGCCCCCGTCGCCTCGCCGCGCCAAATAGGCCACACTGGCGGCAGCTAATGGGGGCCCTGTCGGCGGTGGGCCACGCGGCGGGGGGGGGGGGGGCGACGCCCGAACGTGCTCACAGCGACCTGACGGGACGGACGGGGGTGGCTCACGGGGCGGGGGAGGGGAGCGTGTCAGTCGGGGTCATCCCGGGGCACCGGACACGTACCGGTGAGCACGGAGGTCGACATAAATGTGTGGTGACCACAGAGCAGACAGGCATACATGCGCCTAAAAACACCGCTCGGGCTCCGTGGGTGGTTCGGGGAGAGGGAAACACAACAACCGCCGGAGACCGAGCCTCGCAATACGCATCTCGATTCTCTTAGTATACAATTGCAGGGAGCGCGGGCGAGGGTATGCCATTTGACGCTAAATTACTGTGCTTCCCGTGAGTGCCAATCGAGAGGCCGGGACGGCAGCGCCCACTCTCGAGTTACACGACCTAACACCGCGGAGCGTTGAGTTGCGGACAGACGCGATAATTGATGGTGACTAAACAGCAGACATTCAATCCGCCGAAGACTAACAAACAGCTAACAGCAGGGGATGTGCATTGCTATCTATTCATGTTGACAGCCGTCCACGTAACTTCACAAAACCGCTCCGAGGAACGCAGTAAGAATTCAAAATGAGCGTTTTTCTCTCGGCAATCGGTTTACGCCAGGCTAAGAATATGTTCCGCCTGAGTCGGTTTCACAATGTTTTTAACGTTGTCATCAAGCCCCGATTGTTTGCCAACTTCTTGGGAGCGAACAAAAGTTAGTTGCAAGTTTACCGCCACCAAACGAACCCAGAAAAGCCCCTGCTGCTGCGGCGGCGGCGGCGGCGGCTGGATGATAAGGAAACCTCGCACCGCTTGGAGCTTTGATTGGCAGCAAGGACCCGCGAAGCTAGGGAACGGACGATGAAGAGTGAATACCGACAGTGATGAGCATATTGCGCCAACGGGCTGCCGAATCTCGGCAACAGATGAGCGCTTTACCATGGAGCACGATCGACGCTAGGCTCGAAACTCGACGGAAGGTGTCGCCATAAATTGTCAGACGTCTACAGGGGAAGTAAGGCGTGAACTCCGAGTGGACAGGACGACTTAATATGCATGCTTGTTACATCGCATGAGCATGAATGGCCCAATTAAGCATAACCAAACCATTCTCATGCAAGGGCAGGGTCAGAAACAGAGCTAACCGTCCCTGGCCTGAGACCTTGGTCTGTCAGCGTCGAAGTGAGCTGACCACCGCGTCGGCACAGATGGGCCCCGCGTAGTTAGGCCAATTAGCGTCCACTTTGAGCCAGGGACGGCTGCTCACCACAGTCCATCGGAATGTTCATCTACTACAGAGAGCCTGAGCTGAGGATGATCACCTCCGCAGATTGGCCTTCAGATGCATGTTTATTGGTGAGTGATACATGCATGAGAAACTCGCCAAAATTGGGCTTGGGACTGTCGTTTGAAGTTTCATAATAATCTTAGAAGTAGGAGTGGGACCCACACGCATGGGTGGAGAAGCGAAGGTTCACAACTAATTGCGGTAATGCATTAATTTATTTAGCCTAGCCTACCGGAATACTGAGGATCGTGTGCCTCTGATTATTCGGCACTGGTTTCACCGGGAAATGAGTACACCATACGCAGAACCGCTCAGCCCACATCAAACGCACGTAGCACTACAGTAGCACGGTGGATTGCCATCACTAACGACTTGCGTCAGAGGTTGAAGACAAATCTAGTGCACTTCACGTTGTAACCCGGATACAGATCCCCAGTAAATTACAGATAAGAATTAGATCTGTTGGTAATCTCATATCACATTGAATATCAAACCACGTTTACACATACATCTCGGTGATACACTGCACCCCAATACCAGCCCCCCTCGACCGCCCCCCCCCCCGTCCCCCCCACACCCCTCACGTGGTGCCTCACCTCCCCATGCACTCGACGGACGCCTCTGTGAGCTCGTAGGTGGGCAGGACGATATCGTCTGTCTCCGTGGAGCCGCACCAGCTGAACATGGGCAGGTCGAGCTGCTTCTCGGAGCGCACCAGCGGCCAGTCGCCCAGGTTGATGAGTAGCTCCAGGTCGGGCAGGCGCGCCTTCCGCGTCAGCGACAGCAGGATCGCGTCCATGAAGATGTGGAAGCCCACGTACTTGCCGTAACAGCGGCGGTGGATCTGCGGGACAGGTATGGCTGGGGTGAGCCGAGCGAGGGGTAAGGAGACACAGAACCTGGGTGGTGAGGCTAAACAGCGGTCAATTACCGACATCAATGTAATCCGACAGCAAAAAGTTCGTAGCGTCTTCGTGATGCCTCTCGTAGCAATGCAACAAGAAGGCGTACATAATACAAGTCAAATGGATTAACTGTTATTGAGCTAAACGTTGGTTATTTCTCAAAGTACATCAGAGGCCATTTTCCAGTCAACTTGAGCGAGAGAACAGCCCGATTAATCCCGACATGCTGAGCAGAGCTCACAAGAGTCATTTCTCATTGTGCAGGACTTTGATGCGGTCTATATTACGTCTGTATCAGGCGGCGGCAGCCGATACCCTCAGTACGTGAATCGTTACGGGTGCCATTCAATGTAGTATGAGCAGCATATTATAGCGTTAGTAGACGAACGGGATAGAGCCAGAGGACAAGTAATCTACACCTGATCTACACAAATCATTCAAATGCAATAATAGTTCTGGAAGAAGGGAGATGTATCGACTTTGAATCCCATTAAACCTTTTTAATTATGACATCACGATGCTATGCAAACCTGATCATTAGTTGCATTTCCCGAAATTCATAAAGCGGCAATCTTTTCCTCCGTAACTTCTAAACAAGCGTAGCTGAATGTTTTTTATGAAAATTTGCGAAAGCCCCTGCGATTGGTCGAATATTGGTCACAGGCGTCGCGAAACGTTTCCTTACCGAGACCTGTCCAGTGTCCAACGGAACACAACTGTCTCACTGCTAACTACTGATTCATTATCAAGGAAATGCCGAAAGAAAATAAAAAATCAAGCAAACGAGCCATTGAGTGTCAACAAGCAAAGGCACAAGGCCTCTTATCGAAAGAATCATGAGGGTTCAACGAAAGATATGGCGATTTTATGAAACCAAATTTGCAAGTCAAGAAGCAACGCTAGTAAAAAGATTGTTGAGCCAATCCAATAGCCTAATCCGATCGATAAATTCCGCCTCTCCCCCTCCACACACACGCCTTTAGCGAATTTTTCTGGTCTGTAGCGCAACCACTACCACTGACCGCAGACTAGCATTGCAGAGAACAAGTAGCGGACACAAGTAGCGGACCTTTGAGCCACTGGAGCAGGCTCATTAGCTTAGTGGCAGGACAAAAATTATCCTCGTTAATCAGCGAAAACAGATGGAACAGCCATTACCTCGACTCCAATAAAGTGGACGCATTAAAGCCGTCATATGTAGGCCGCGGAACACATTTTGTTTTCTAATTAATCAACGAAAAGTTCCGGCACATTTGAAGTTGTGACGGAAAGTTAGGTGGGAGCGGCTACGTTTCGGGTCAAGCGTTATCATTGATTTAATGAGTTCGTAAACTCGATAGTGGTGTCGGACCAGTCCCCTAGGCAGCCGCCCCCTGAACCTCGCTAGCGGTTATACATTTGGCAAGCGTTACATGGACGCAGCCCATTGTCGGCAACTGTTGCTAATTTGCCATCTGCCAACATCGCCTGAGCAGAGCAGGTAGATAAATGGACCCTCGTCAAGTCGCAATCACCTGGTTGTCTTTGACGACGTAGTTGCAGAAGCTCTGGCTGCCGGCGTGTGAGAACTGGCTGGTGGCCGCCGCTAGCACGCTGTCGAAGTCGACGTTGTGGTACGGTCTGAGGTCGCGCTCGATCTGGGGGTGGGAGGCCGGACAGCCGGCGCTGGCCAGCCAGTCTTCCAGCGAGTCCACCGGACAGGGGCACTCCTCGGCGTATATCGGACCTGCAATGGCAGGCGAGGGGGCACACAGTCACACACACAGGACAGGGGCACTCCTCGGCGTATATCGGGCCTGGAAGCAGGCGAGGGGGGCACACAGTCACACACAGGGCAGGGGCACTCCTCGGCGTATATCGGACCTGATGGCAGGCGAGGGGGACAGTTTTACACGGGACAGGGGCACTCCTCGGCGTAGGTCGGACTTGGAGGCAGCAGAGAGGAGGGGGGGGGGGCAGTCACGCACCAGGCAGTGACACTCCTCGGCGTATAGTATATTGGGTCTGAAGGTGGGGGGGGGGGGGGGGCAGCCACCAACGACCAGAGGCACTCCTCGGCGTGTATAGGTCCTGTGACAGAGGAGTCACACACAGGGCAGGGACACTCCTTCGGCTTTCGGCGTATATCGGCCCAGGGGCAGAGAATGGAAAGTGAACAGTCAAACACAGGACAATGACAGTTGACAAGCTTCCTGACAGCAGTCACGGTCTGGGAGAGGGTTGGGGAGATGGTGACAAACTGCGTGAGGCACGCCGGCAGCATAATTCATTGGAGGGTCACCGGAGTTTAATCAGGGAATCTACACGAGGCACCAGCTGGGCACAGATATTAGAGGGGATTACGCACGCACTACGCAGTGCGTCACGGCCCTCATTTCTCAGTCGTACATTCAGCTGCTATTTTCGTAATGAGAAGTTCGACCTCCATTAACTGATCGGATGACGCACTATTTCGGTAGGGAGAACATATGCGCTTTGACGCAAACTGGGCATATGACGCACGGGAGGGATCAGCCGTCTGCCGCCGCCATTACCCCTTTCCATCATGGCGCACATTTGTGCGAGTTGACCTGTCCGCGGCCCGGCCGGATTTAGATCAGATCGAACAGGGTGGGGGATTGATCAATGTGCCGCCGAGTTGTCGGATGACACGCGCGCCGGCCACCTCCCCCGCCGCCTGTCACGTTAGAGGGGCGCAGATAGAGCGGGCTCTGATACCGGCCGGCTCTCTGGCGCCACTGAACGCAGCGCGCATTACTCACTGACGCACGGGCCGGTCAGGTTACAGCCCCCCTCCCTCCCTTCTCGGGGGAGGGATGGTTATAGCGGCGGTCAGCAGCAGTGACCGGTCACTGAGCTCCCCAGAGAAATTGTCAGATCACTGGTGACTTGAGCTGCAGTGCTATACAAATTGTTTCCTACCGTCTTACCCGCTAATGTTCATTACATGAGCGATGGATAAATAAATCAACTCAGAACAAGATATGGTCTTAAACGTTCCATTCGCAGGAACTGCACCCGACTGAGGCAGGACCCGGTTCATTTCCGGCCCGAGTCTAACCGGCCACATTTATCCCGCTCAAAGCGAGTGCGAATTTACAATGCACATAAATCCATATCAATGCATGCAAAAACCCGCCGACTGTGTAATCATCTTATCAGCTGCGGTCTCATCTGCCGCACTCCCCGTCCCTCCCTCCCTCCCACGTCCCTCCCCACCGCCTCCCTCACTCCCCCGTCCCTTCCCATCCCCTCCCTCGCTCCCCACCCCTTCCTGCCACGCCCCACGCAATCTAGCAGCCCGCGCCCGAGGCTTGTTTGCTCTCCGGAACTTGTCGGGCGCAGTTGTTTGCTTCCTAGAGTCGTACCTATAGGACGCGACTGTTTGTTCTTGTGTCGAACCAGGAGGAGATTTTGGAATTGACAGCAATGACACAATGATTTCTTTCATTACAAACAGCTACCGAATACACGCAAGTTGTTTAGGGCATGTTCTATGTCTATTGTTTCTGCCTGGAGGTGCTGAGACGTAAGTACCACATTTTCGATATAAGAGGTGTAAGAAAATACTCTGCGAAGTTAGTGAGCTCGAAGTGAAGGAAAATACGGATGACGAGAGCAGTCTGGAAGGAAGTGCGCCAAGCAAGCGGGCAATTTTCGGAACAACAGCGCGAGTACAGGTAACGAACAACCGATGAGCGAAAAAAAAAACACTGTTGCATCCCAGGTGGCAGCCATCCATTTTATCAATCAAGTTAAGTCTGAATTCTGAAATATGTAAAGCAAAGTTCAGCCTCATACATAAAACTATCCCAAACAGCTGAGAGCTCCCACGGTAGGTATGCTAAACCAAACCGGATTATTCCGGAATCTGGCCAGTCGCCGTACGTCGGGCCGTTGCCGGGGCTGTATTTTTGGTGGACGGCACTCGGATGCAGTTTTCATTGCTCCCGGTGGACGGGGAACATCACGGCTCACGAGTATAACGTGCCTCAAACCAGGGTGTTCCAGGAAAATCACCACAGCCGCCGGATTTGTACGTGGTTTCACGACCACTGGCGCTTTGGTAGGGGATATTCTCAGACTGGCTGCATTTGTGACGATTCAGGAGTGGCATCTTTATGTCAAGTTTCGAGCGGTTTGGACCTGCCCGACATACCTGACTATAAAAGTCATTGGAGAGAGAGACCTGAAAGGGGTTTGGACTTCGAAAATATTTATTACCAAAAGCGAAACAAGAGTACGTACTGTAAGATTCTGCCACTGTGGGGAACTTCGTCAATATTTGCGTGGCTAGAAGAACGGTATCGCCTCTGAAAAAAAATGCAACCAGTCAAGGACAAAATTTATCCAAGTCAGGAGAGCTACACTCCATTTCATACTTATCCATCATCAGTACCAAAACTGAATGCCGTTGAACTGAAAGCGGCCGGGCCGCGGGCGCTCTTATTGGAAAACTTCCCCAACGTCTTTCTGATCCTATTTGAATTCGAATTTCGCTATGGTGCCGAATTCATCCGACTATCTATTCCGCTTCGCAGAATATCGCTAATAAAACCGTATTGTGTCGTCCGATTTCAGAGGGACGCCGGTATCACAAAATGGCGCTGCCGAGACTCACAAGACGGCGAAGAGACTACTGTATTCTTCAGAATGCAGCATTACTGCAGATATTCCAACATACCAATATCAGGAAGTTGCTACTCATAGGCCGCAGTGCTCCCACCTGCCAGCCAAGCCAGATACGGAAGCGAGCTTTTGTTATTCTTACTTCTTAGCTTGGGTAATTTGCAGCAAGTGAGCGCTTCGTACCCGAATCAGATAACAACCACCCTCTGGATACCTATATGCCACCACAAGCACCATTGGCCGAATCACTTTCCATGAGAGAATCATCAAAAGTAAGAAACAAGGGGTAACATTGCGTTTGCCGTCTACCTATAATAGCCAGTATGATCCATATAATTGCTCAGCCTGTCGTTAGTGCCCTTTATATGATGTGCTGATATTGAATAAACATTCAACTTGAAAAAAATGATCCATATAATTGCACTGCGGCACTGCCGGTCCCTGTCAGCGATAGCCGTGCAGTAAACGTCAGCCACGACGACATTTGAAACAGGCTTTATGAATTCATAGTAATGAAAACACGTAACATGTAAATAATTCAGCTTATAATGGTTGCGGCATGAAACTTGGGCCTTTTTGGAGCTTGTTGTTGTCATAAAACAGCTTATCAGCAGGAACCTAGCAAGCCAATGAATATTTTAGACAGCCGTGTCTCAAAACAAAACTTAAATAAATCTATATTTATACGAAGCCCAAGTGCCACAATGTAGTGTTTGTTTGTTTTGTCTAGCGAGACCATTCCAGGGCCGGAAGAATGATTCAAATTCGGGGGGTGGGTGGGCAAATTGGCCTTTGCGGCCACCCTAGTGTTCCGCCCGTGCTGAGCCCGTCACGTGGAAAGGTCAACCAGCCCCGCTTATACGGTCAACCTATACTATAGCCTTGGGTCAGCCCAAGGTATCACAGCCTGCTCTTGGGGAGCTGCTCGCGTCGGATAGAGGAGACTGTCCAGCCCGGATCAGGGACTTTGTGGTATTGGTGAGAAGGATTCACACGCTCTGAGGATAGATCAATGGCATCAAGGGGAGATTTAGTGTATCGCCGAATCAAGCTTTTTGAATTTTACTTTCAATGGCAGCTGGTTACAGAAAATAGCGTCTAAGGGCACTACAAAGGATATTTTAGCCATGACCACTGGCCATAAATATCGCCAAGACAAATTGTCAGTGCTTTCCGCGATAACTAATTTTCGGACCGGCGATAACGATAAAACGATAAGTACGGTTTGCGATAACGATAAACGATAAACGATAAAAATTTGCAAAAAAAAATTAACAGCGATAGCGATAAAACGATAAAACGATAACGGTAATTGTTTTGTTAACAGCGATAACGAAACGATAAACGATACAATGATAACAATATTTTTTTAACAGCGATAACAAAAGCGATAAGAAATACAGCTTAAATAAGTGTACCTACTTTAACCTTCCAGGCGGTTGGGGGGGGGGGCATTTTTTGCCCCCCCCCCCTTTAGTTTTTTTTCTCAATATATCTCGAGAACCGCTGCGTCGATCGTCACCAAACTTTCAGTACCCTCCCGGGAGCAGCTAGCGCACATGGTGACCAAAAATTTTTCCAAAGGCTATGATAGGTTGGCCGCTAATGACGTCAGAGTGACGTCATTTTTGCCATTTTCGACCCAAAAAAAGGTTTTGCGGGAAGAGCTGTCAGGCCTACAGCTTTAGAGATACAGAAAAATGTTTCAACATAAAAGGTGTGAAATTAAAAGGGCTACAAAACTGCTATTTCGGTTTTTCGAATTTTTTGGATTTTGACCCCCAAACATCAAAACATATATTTTTTTATTATAATAGCCAAAAAATCCAAAAAGTTTTTAATTTCGAAAAAATCGGAATATCTGTAATAGTCCCTACCGCCTTCTATCTACATACCAAATTTGAGATCGATACCTCTTTTTTTTGGCCAAGTTATAGCGAAAAAACTGTTCAAAATTGATGACGTCAAATTTTCAAACACTCAATTTTTAGCAATTCTAGGCCTCGTAGCGCAAAACAAAGACCACCATTAGACTCCCCGTGACGAGCTGCATCGAATCGATACCCATTTTATGCAAAAATATCAACTTCGAAATTTGACCTTTTTTGACCTGACCTTGACCTGACCTCCACCAGAAAGTGACCTAAACCGTACCTGATGGTCTTATAACCAACACCATTGAGTTGGAAATGAAAAACTGGCCATAAAACATGCATCGCATAACCTTAGTAAAGTTGGGCTCATGTGGTGACCCTTGGTGACCTTTGGTGACCTGACCTGTGACCTGACCTGGTACGACCAGTGACCTCTAATAGCAACATATGTACTAGACAACTGACGCCTTATCGCTGATTTTCGACAAAATGCGTTTTACTCGGTGTTATAGCGCTTTCCCTAGAAGCCCCGTGAACGGTGAAACATTTTATCTTTGACCTGACCTGTGACGTCATCGGTGACCCCGAGGTCAATGAAATTTGGTTTCCTTGGACAAATTTGACAGGGCTATCAAACGCCGTTTGAATTTTCCGGATCCGTTTAGTAGTTTCCGAGATACGGGGGGAGGGCAAAAAAATCCCCCCCCCCCCCCCACCGCGCGGAAGGTGGCTAGTAGCCAGTAGGCCCACCGCCTGCCGGGTTAAGTTTATTTGCAGATCTACAGGGTGTCCCAGAATTACCCGGACATTTATTTTCTGGCTAAAAGTGCGATTGCGCTCGATTCTAATGATATACAAGCATCATACTTTTATAAGATATCCCTTAGCTATCGAGCTTGGGGACTGTGTGCTTTTGGTGACCGGTAACGACTCGAGTCAATTATTATCCAAAGTCAAGTAGGAGTAGTCCTTTTCCGTTTTCAGCTTAAGCCACTAATAGGCAACCATGGTGAAACAACTCCCGTTTTCAACTTTGTAAACGGACTTTCGGCATGGTTTTTGCTGGAGAGCTTCAGCAGCTCATCAGCAAGCAGTTAGGATTGAGCAAAGCGCAATTATATCAGCTAACGAAGCCAGAGAGAGCAAGAGATAAACCTGATAGACAAGCTTGGACTCGGCCAAAAAGGGCCATGCACCAGTTGTCAAACGGGTGGTTGCTTGTCATGGACAACAAACGTCACTGATTTAGCTAAAAACTAGCTAAACGATAGATCAGGATTATCTAAAGAACATCAGTCTACTTTCCACCAGTATCTTCGCAAAATTTTGGAATTTGGGGTCCCTCGCCTGAAAAATATGCGAAAACTACGGGAAAAGCAGCGAAAATCACTACAATTCATCCCAAAAATATAACATATACAACAAAAAAATATGTTGAAGCACACTTTGTGGTCTAACGAAGGTATTCTGTCATTTGAACCGCCCGAAAAAGGCGTGTGTGAACGTCAGATGGCTACAACTCCCCAACAGCAGAGACGGCCAGGCACCCGTCGAAAATCAAATTGTTAGACATTTTGAGCCACCGTGCACTCATTGGGCTTGATATGATGGCCCAACGACAGCCGTTAGCACAGAGTACTACTGCGGTGATATTCTACCAGTGCAAAAACTGGATGCCGTAAACCAAATGGCCATGAACGGGTTTGTTTTGGAAACCAAATCTGTTGGAAGCCAAAGGTCCCGCCATGTTCAGACATGGAGCTTCTCCACTTCAGATGTAAAAAACGCGGCAAAAGTGGTGTAGGCAGCAATTTTTGTTTTGGGGGATTATGCCTTATGACCTGGGAACACTTTGATGTTAAGTTTATCTTATATGATCGTATTATCCTCCGGCAGCAGGTCAAAGAAAACAGGCCTTCACCCAGTTTCGGGAGAACCGTAAAACAACTGAGACCAGCAATGGCTGGCATTTTCAATCATTGTCGGCTGATCTTGTAACAAGCGTATCTATTGCATGTGCTATTTCACAGCCACCCTAGTTGACTATATAGGACGATAAAAAGAAAAAGGCGCAATCATGTTCGCCTTATTTTATACGCTAATTAACAATGTCCGGGTAATTCTGGGACACCCTGTATACACTTAGCAGATGGTAACAGGTTGCGCACAAATACTGTCGCGCGGCATACACTGTCGATCGTCTTCCATTTTTCCATCATCCCGTTTTACATTTTATCGTTTATCCGTTATCGTTCATAATTTTTGTAGCTTGCGATAAGTGGATGAGCGATAATTTTGAAAATTTAGCGATAAACGATAACGATGACCGATTTACTTAACAGCGATAATTATCGTTTATCGTTTATCGCTCATCCTATCGCATGCGGAAACCACTGCAAATTGTACGTCTCTCGGCTCTCGCTCATTGGCGCCGTCGCACAGTGGGCCGATATGCCATTCTAGCGCGACAGGGCCTGAATCTTCGAACGGAACTCTCAGTTTTTCGCGAATAATTCGCGTAAAAAGCGGCCGATCGCAACGAAACTTTCAGTACCCTCGCGATAATTAATTTCACAGCTAACCTTAAAATTTCATGACCCTGACCTTAATGATCTTTGACCTGTGACCTTCTTTCGGGATCATGTTTGGCCGGAATCGCGATTCAGCGTATGTCGGCTCGCATTAGCCGCGAGTTTGCAGTCTTTTCGTGGTTTAAAACGTTCAAGCATGGGGTATTATGTTGCTCCCATGCATTAGGGTGGGTGTCAAGGTCACCGGAAGGCCAGGTAAGGTCATTGACCTTTGATGACCTTGGTTCAATTTCTCGAGTTTTACATGTTTCTAGGCTAATTTTTGGAGCTGAATTTGAATCTAGCAACCATTTGAACATTTACTATGTAGCTTTGGTGCCTTCGTAACATGTTACGAAGCTGTCAAAGGCGGTTGCCACCTACTACAAGTACCCGGCAAAACCCTTACTGGTTGACCTGACCTGACCTGACCCGACCTGGCCTAAATGTATGAAGACATTATCTATGATCATAAATAACATTATATTCGTGATCAGCACCCAAAAAACCCATAGCAGCCACCCTTTAAGACGTTCTAACAGGTCCCGATTTTCCCGACTTTTGGGTCATTGATCTGACCTGGAAGATCACCCGATGACCTAGGACCTTACAAATGGGTATCATCAGCTTCCTCTTGTCACGTGCAACACGCTCGTCTTCTCCGCGAAGCTCTAGCTCGACCAGGGGCGAAACGGCAGGGGGGTCCAACGGACCCCTTCTATACGTTCGCGGCTGGAAAAACACCACTAGGGGCGAGGGTTAAGCCAAATCTGAGGGCTTATTTCAGAAAGACCGCTAAAAGAGCAATTGAATGCACTTTTCCGCGACGATGTAGCTCTATTGGTCCCCGAGGTAAGGGCCGGTGTTTCGAGAAATGTTGTTATATGCAACATTTTACCTTTGATGACCTGTGGTGACGTGACCTTTGACCTGACCTAGAAATGACTAATTACTCTCTCTGGCATTTCGGGCGCTCTTTCGAATGCCACTTACAACGTGTCGCTATGTGGCCCAGGAGCCGAGTTAGAAGGGGAGCGTTCAATCAACACCTCCCGCCTCCCGGCCCGGCGCGTTTGACGCCGAGCACCGGTCCGGCGCGGGTTGATGTTTGGCTGCTACATCCAAAGTCGCAAAAAGTCGCAAGAAATGACTGTTGGATCTTGTAGTGCAATGACTCATTGACATGTAGCGAGATTTTCGAAGCGGTACTTTGCGGTACTTTTTTTAAAAGTCTATTTATGTGTGACATCAATTATGTGAAATTATATTTTCGTCTTTAAATCTTTGTCGTACAAATAGATCATAACCAAGTAAGAGTTCACCATTTTCATGTGGTTATGTGTGTTCTGCAGACCCGGAGCTATCGTTTGATGTATATAAATGTGGAATTCCTCCTCAAATTGTGATTGTTTTCGTGGATCAAAGATACGCTGTCGGAGAGTGCGGGAAACGAGTTCGGTCCAAATGATTCCGAAGTTCGTGTTTAAGCTGAGTTTTCGCCATGAAATAGCAATTGTGTTGGAAAACAAAGACCACAGCAATGTACTATGATCATTTTTGAACAAATTGGTATAGGTTTCATTGCACATCCACAAAGTTCGATTTTTTACCCATGTCGTGCTAGACCTGGCGATCGGCCCAGTGTGCGTCGGTTGGCTGTGAGCTCCGGATCTCGAGTGACTAGTGCTGCCACCTACTCACCGTCTATCTTGTACGGACTGTCGGCCACGTGCTGCCCTCTGTAGAGCACCCTCAGCACGGCGTTCCGGCAGGTCACGAACACCCTGTACCGCACCATCACCGTTCCGTCGTGCCGGTCCAGGGTCTGCATGTTGACGTGGCAGGGACCGCGGGCCGAGTCCCCCGATAGGCTGACCTCGAACACACCCTCAGGGGAGGAGGTCAACCTGAAACAGCGGCAGACAGACGCCAGTCAGCGGGCGAGACCGGATCCGATCGCTAACAGAGGTCAGTCGTGGTTGGTCTGACCATCAATAGTGGGTCTGTTCCAGTCGCACTTCCTAACACCCCTTAACTCCTCCAAGATTGCTTCCCTGTTCCAGTGGCAGCTCTAGCCCCTGCAAAGCCAAGGATCGCCCTGCTCCAACCTCCTCTATTTTGCTCTTGGAGGAGTTTAGAGGTGTTTGGAAGTCCGACTGGAACAGACCCAGTGAGACAAGAAAATCAACTCAGCCAATCAATATAACTCACTCGTTGCCGTGCTTGTCGACGGTCTGTATGAAGAAGTAGCGGGCCGGGAGTACGACCTCGTCCGGCCGGAGACCGGATCCCGTCAGACGGCACCGCGCCGGGTCCACCGGGTCCGCGCCTGGATCCGCCGTGTCCGACGGGTGGTCTCCGGATACCAGCAGTAACGAGCTGAGCAGCAGCAGCCCGCTGACGAGGGCTGGGCGGGCCATGGCGAGCGGCACTCCGCTTCCTAAAATGGAGATTCGGGAAGGTCAGTGCACAAAAGACGATGGGCGATTTATCCTCAAACAGCAAGCACATTTCATTTTTGGCAGAAGGTGTGATGGAGTTGGCTATCAGTTATCGAGTGTTTATTCTTTTTCTGACAACAACCGCTCACGATAAGACATGATGTCACGAGCTCTGACGCACCGCCCGCATTGCAGGCGACTTTTGTCCCATCCGCGGCGGCATTTTTCGGTGTGGTTTCGCCCACTGTGTCGGTGCGGTTTGAGGGTTTAGTCCTGGGTACACCAACCGGTTCCGGTCGGCTGCAGTCTGCCAGCGGCCGTGGCACGTGCCGTTCTGTGGCAGTAATGTCGCATTACGAGGTAATGTCGCATTGTGCGGTCTGTCCATGGCCCTGGAACACCCTCGTCAGACGGCTCCTGACAGCGTGCACACAGTGGGGCGACTGCAGCCGAATATGGTCAAAACAGAGGGCGCGACAAAAGAGCCATCCAGCTCAGCCACCACTTAGGCCCATGACATCATGAAAGACATGAAAGAAAGGCGACTCGTAAACAATAATACAGAAGTGTTTAAAAAGGAGTGAATGCTACCGTATATGAGCAGTATCGGAGGCGGATCAAAGGAAGGATTGGAGAGTGGGTGGGTGTTGGGTGGGTGTTCAGCGGGGGTATCATAGGCTTACATGGCGTGACATAAAAGCTCAACCACCTCACACGGCCGGAGCTCCAAACCACCCTTCCAAACGGAATGAACTGACAAACGTGGGCTTGGCTCTCGGATTATAAGCTACGACGTAACCAAAATACGTACGAGACGGTGAACTTTCTCGGTGAATGAAAGGTTTGCTGAAGTGTTCGTGCACTGCAAAGTGTAACGAAATTATCCGGACATCTATTTTTTTTGCCATACTGTTGGCACAGTTTCCTTTCTGATGTTCAACCTGAGAAACTCGAACGTCGCCTTATTTTAACATGTTAATTATTCCCGATAAATTACCTTTACATGCCTGCGTTTTGGAACTAGACAAGAGAATAGTGGTGAGGTCATGCTGTGGAACTTGCATTGCAATGTAATCCATACCTAACTATCATGGAGAGAACCGCTTACTCAATTTGGGCCTCGGTAAGAGTGAAAAACGAAGTCTTCCCAAAATTCGTTGGCAATGAATGTTTTCGTAGGACATTGGGTGCCAGCTGCCACCAGTGACGTCATCATGGCATGCTCATTTTTGAAGACACAATTTCCTGTTTTTACCGAGCACAATTGGAAATCAATCATTTTTTTTTCGGCAAGAAATTATTAGCCAGACCAAGACCATATATAGGAGCAGACGCTGAAGCAGCCAAAATTCACGCGAGAGCTTCGATAATGAACTTGGAGCCAGCAGCCTTTGGAAAAAACGAACTATTGTGACGCGCTTTGAACGCAAATTTTGTGACAGCACAAAAACTTATGAAAATCGGCTAAAAAAGGTAATAAAAACAACCAGGAACATGGAATGAATCACAACATTGACATTTCCGTGTATGGAGTCGGAGTCGTGAAGATTTTGGCGACTGCGACTCCGACTCTGGCTTGAACTGCACCCTCCAAACGAGTCTGACCTCACAGGCATTCTCAGAAAGGTACTCCCCCCCCCCATTTTTTTCCGACTCCAAAATCTCATCGGAACTGTATCGATCTCAGGAGGTGCCCGGTCCGAGGTTGGGGGGGGGGGCAAGCTGCCCCGCTTGCACCCCCCCCCCCCCCCGTGGCGACGCTAATGGCTCAGTGTCACCAAAAACTGCCGAGAAAACAAGCAATTACCATATAATCTATAGATTCCAATCAATAATCTATCGAAAATAACGTAATTGATTGCTTTATCAGCAGCAGTTCTTTGACCGCTTCATTGTTTACCTACCGTCCGGTCACGTGTTCTCGGAAGAGAAAAAAAAAAGACACTGTGGCCTCTGTCACGGTCCCTGACCAACTGCACCGCTCCTCATCATCAAAATGCATCGCAGCGGCGGCCCCTCCTACTTGGCAAACAAATCGATGTTCTCCTTTCTATTCATGCTGCACGCATGACGTCGGATCCGCCCGGGGCGCTGTGACAGCGAGGAGCTGAGTTGTATAGCCACAAGTGCAACCTCTGTGACGGCGGGGCTGACATAGGTCTATTGACCCCTTGTTTCGCCGGCCCTTGACGTCGCGACACGCGGTGGGTATTCTCTCTGTTCGCGGTGTGGCAGGCCCAGCGCTGCCCGTGCTCATCACGGGCCGAGGAGGTCTGTTCAGACCTCGGCTGGACGTGACCGGCGTCCTCTGATGGCGCTGTCTGCGGCGGATGTGGCGAGCTGCGCCGGCCAGCTGGCGGCCGCGCACGGCTGGCCGGCCGCCGAGCTGCACTGGCAGCCGCCCGATCCCGTCTGGCTGCTGCCGGCGCTGCTGCTGCAGCTCTCCGGACGGGCCGTGTTCGCGCGCCGCTCCCCGGCCGGCGCCGGCGGCGGCGGCGGCACCATCCAGCTGGCGGCGCCCGAGCGGGCGGCGCCGGTGCGGCCGCTGCTGCTGCTGCCGCCCAGTCCGGTGCCGCTGGACCGGCTGCAGCGGCTGGCCGGCCGGCTGAGCGGCGCCGAGCTGCTGCAGCCCGACTCGGGCCGCCTGCTGCGCGTGACGCACCACGCCGACTCCGGGCCGCTGGTGACCACCGTCGGCCACTGCCGGGCCGGCCGGCTGAGCCCGCTGCCGCTGCCGGCGCCACCTCCGGCCGGCTTGAGGGACCTCCGAGTCGTCAACAAAACATACAGAGTCGCCAATTTCCTCTTTTTCTACCCGAACCCACCGTCTGTGCATTCCAGTGACGCTTTAGCGACAGACATATTCGACGTTCTTCAGGAAGCCATGGGATTCCGCATGAACGAGATTGTCATCACTACCAACCATTTGGACAACTTCTTCCAGCTATTTGAGAATGGTTCGGTTGATTTTGCCACCAACTTTTTCAGCTCGACATGGGAAAGGCATCGGATTGTGCACTTTTCGATACTCGTCATCCAATATGCGAATCGAATGTTCGTGAGAACTCCGGAGCCAGAGTCGTCGCCGTCGTTCGGCAGTAGTTTGGAGAACGTCCGGCTGCGCGCGCTGGCCGTCGGCCTGCTGCTGCTGGCCGCCGCCGGCGGGTACCTGGCGCTGCGGCCCAGCGGCGCCGCCGTCTCGCGCCTCTCCACAGTCTGCCTGCTGGCGCTCGGCTCATTCTGCACCCGCTGTGAGCCGCTGCGGCCCGGCCGGCTCTCGCAGTGCGTGGCTGCTGCCGCGGTGCTCGGCGTCGGCATGCTGTCGTTCCAGTTCTACACGGCCGACCTGCTGTCGCAGGTGACCATGGAGCGGGCGTGCATGCCGTTTGCGCAGCCGGACGACGTCACCCGGCTGGAGGACTGGGAGTGGGCCGTGCTTTCTCGCTCGGCAGCGGAAAACGCGCTGCAGAACTTCCCCCAGCCCGGCATGGACTTCAGATCATCCATGTCACAGTCGCTGAACATCAGCCTTTCAGAGTGGGTGCCCAGGGCGACCGAGCGCAAGTTCGCCTTCTTCCTGTCATCAGTGGATATCCTACAGATGTGCTCGTGGAACGAGTGCCCTTCCGTTTGCCCCTTCCCGCAGCACCTGTCCAGGCACTGGGGAGGGCTACCGTTCCGGCGCGGTCTGGCCGAGAAGCGCGCCTTCGACGCCGCCCTGCTGCGACTCATGGAGACGGGTGTGCTGGACCGGCTGAGGCGGCGCCGACTGCCCGAGCGGCTGTTGCGCGGCCTGCGGCGCTGTGACCTGGAGGCGCGGCCGCGCTCCCACTGGTCGCCGCTCGGCCTCTCCGAGTGCAGGCCCGTGCTGGAGGTGCTGCTCGCCGGCGCCGGCGTCGCGCTGCTGCTGCTGCTGCTCGAGACGATGGCGCACAGGCTGAGTAATAAGCGCAACGCCTACGAAGAGCAAGCGACACATTCACCCACCGGAGAAAGCAGCAGCGGCAAGGCCGTAAAAGAGAGCAGCGGTGACAAATGAAGGAGTGGCTCGCCAGATAAGTGCGCCTATATGTAGGTATTGTGCAGTTGCGTTTACATAGACAGCGCATGCATTGCGCGACACGTGTCGCAGGAGCACTGCAGATGGTGCACCTCCAAAAGGAGTTAGAAACTGAAGCCGTTGGCTTAGCTGTATTGCACCATTGTAGTGAATTTAATAAACACTGAGCGAGTTTATGGGCGAGTGCTCGGTAAATAGGTAGAACACCGTCATTGTCGTTCACACGGAGTCCCGCGGACATCTTCACGGAGCCTGTTCGGCAGCATGCGTGGTATTTGTCCAAGCCCTTCGGACCTGGTGTCGAAACGGGCGGACCGATCTCGATATGAGTGGCATCCATACATGGGCGCGCTGTGCTTTAGATTTTACGCCATGGGCAGGATTAAAGTTGTCTGGTTACCTATATCCTTCACATTTCATAAAGGTAGGTAGGCACTAGGCAGATATCAACTGACGTGCCACGTAGAGAGGAGCAGTGGTGATAAAGTTGTTCTCCTAATTCTTACTTTGAAATGTAAAAGCATGCCCTTTACGGCATCTGGGAACGTCAGTGGCTGGCGTTCCGTATTCCAGTTCGTGCGCAACCGTTCCACATCCGTAACCGATAGCACCCTGGTACACTCGGGGGCAGATTGATGTTCTACAATTCTTCATCCACCGGTCTGCTATGGCTCAGCAGTCAGCATTGGCAGCAGCCGCCTGGTACCGGTAGATTGTGCCGCTTCACTTACTTGTCAAGCGGCACAGCCTACCCACACCGTATGACACCGGTCTGGGTCGGTGGCTAGAAGGCGATGTGGGTCGCCTGTGACGTCAGCGCAGCGGTGAGGGCCGAGCCCGGAGGCATGGCTCGGGTCGGCGCGGTGCGGCGGCTGGCGAGGGCTGGGGAGTGAGGCGGGGTGGGAGCATGGACCATCGCGCGGCTGAGCGAGTGTAGTT